CAAAGTATCTGAAATGAAAGCTCTCGATTGACTGGTCATGGTTTTAAAATCGACCGACAGCAATCGATAAAGAAACCCACTGATTTAGGAAAAGCTCATTTCCATGTTATTTTTGAATGAAACCGCCACTCATAAGGGGCAAGGAGGCTGCTTTCCGTTTGTTTGTTTTTCAATTTTTTTCTAATGCATAGCTTGCTGGAAAAATTGGCAGAGAACAATTTCCAAGAATCACCCACCGTTGAGAGTAAACCAAACGCGAACTGAAAAGCTAAGAAGCACTGGACAGCTATCTCGACCTAGTTGCGTCTTGTCAGTACTAGGCGAATCGGTCAATCCAACTAGGGATTGTGAACTCGGAGCCTCGAGGGTAGAACGCAAGCATACTACCCGTTGGATCACCAGGTAACCTTCCTGTTTTATATGTAAATAGTTGCAAAAATATGAAGGGAACCGTGAAGTACTCCAATGTTTTCCCCGCCATGCATGTTAACCAGTCATAACAAGCCATGTTCTTGAGAGGAGCAGCCTTTATGAAACGGAGACGTATTAGAGTATGCAAATCATTGTCTAGATTTAAAAAATGCGATTTTTTACTAACTGGAGCTCTTTGCTTAGACGAGTATTACCAAAATGAACAGACTAGCAGTGGGAACTAGGTGCTGGAGACTACAACAAAAGATCATCTTAGAATTTGTATGTTCAAATCCCGACATTATCTCTGCCCAAGTTTCACGCTGCGTTGCACCCAGTGGCAACCACCTCCTGAGCAGTCAATGCACATTTATTCGTTGAACAAAAGAAAGTAAAAAGATTTTGTAATTCAGTTGAACGGACAATCCTTCGGACTTCACCCACCTTCACGCACAATTCTCGGTTCATTCTGTGAACCACACACACGCACACACACACACTCGGAAGCACTAAACTCGAGTTTGCTTTTATTAGAGCTCTTCATTAGTGCATATTCATCGCGATTTTCTGTAATTATTTGTCACCCGCCCTTGAATCAAGTGTTGTTTTCATTCATCGAATGAAAAATTTGCTTCATTCTAGGGCTTGTGTTTCACATAAATTTCATAATTTCCCGAGGAGCTGAAGGATCGAAACTAGTTACTATTTTTTTTCGTCTGCTATTTGTTACTTCTAGTCGATGTGAACCACTGCGATTCCAGTCTTCTCCTGGAAGATTATGGAGGTATAAACTGGACACGCATACATATTCGCACACACACACACACACACACACACACACACACGAAGTACATCCCGCCATAATTCGGTTCATAAATTGTTCACAACAGGTTTAAGTGACTGTCGACTTGCATGCAGCTGCAAGTAGATCACCCACTCCCCGCTACCTCTAAGAGATGGACAAGTGGGTGGAGAATGCATGCGGTAGCGTAAGAAGAAGCCGCGGGATAAAGTGTGAGTCGCAGGTGCAACACCTAACTGGCCAAGCATTATTTGATACATCAAGTAATGCCACACACTTCTCCACAGCAAGTTAGCCACATCAGTTGTAACAATTTTCGTACGCCTCACGTCCAGGCTGAATGGAATGCCAGTCTACCAATCGGCACAAAAATTATCCATGGGTAGATAGATACTCGATCATTTTTGACTTGCATTCGTTGCAACGCTCGTAGTCAGAAGGTGATTGTGTTTTTGTTCTTTATCTGTTCTTCTTCGCCAAACTGATCGATGTGAACACGTGGTATTTTGGGTCTGCACTGCATGAGATCTGATTCTTCTCTCTCTCTGTTTCATGGTCACGTACATCTGGTGGTGATCACATATGGTCCTATCGAATTGGGCCCTTCCACTTCCGCACATACACCTGTGTCACTTCTTCATAGAGAATGCGCAACGTATCCGATTAAAGTTCAAAATCGAGGTAAATTGTAAATATACACCTGTTCGGGGGCAAGATTACCCCCCCTCCCCCGCAGACACATTTTCATCCACTTGAGAATAATGTGTACGCTTGCAAGTTGTACCGCCCGGTAGTCTGGGCCAGTTATGTGGTTAGACGAGTTGTAGTTCTCGGTCAACCAATTCGGCAGACATAATACAAGATTGAGACGTTCTTTATGCGATTCTCATGATCACCTTTATCATCAAATTGAAGCCAAGCTGCATAAACCAATGAGTAACTAAAAGAGGCGGTATGCAATCTGGTCTTATTAGCTATCCATCAGTAATGCTTTGGCATTAGTCT